AACAAAGGAACATGCAGGAGAAGATCTTCCCACGTTCGAGTGTCTATACCCGATCGGGTATGCTTATATACTCGATCGGGTATGCACATAAAATCTACTCGAGTATTGATCGAGTATTGACCAAATTCTGATTTCTATACATACTCGATCGAGTATGTATACATACTCGATCGAGTACTCGATCCTGCACCTCAAAAAGCCTATAAATACACCTCCTTTCCTTCACTTTTGGATACCAATTCCTTTATACTCTTAAGCTCAGTTTAGAATAGCATTTCTCTATATTTCTTTTAGCATGTTTAGTCTCCAAATGAGGAGCTAAACTTCCATTTCTTGGTATTGCTCTTGAAGCTTGTTGATTATTAAAGTTGTGAGTTATTTTCTTAACTTCTTTCCTTGAATATTAATTCTTTCTTCAAATACTATTTCTATATCAATGTTGGGGAGTGTTGCTAAGATGACAATTAGTTAACATCTTGACATTGGTCTTAGTAATAGCTATTCCTTCCTCTATGTTAATATTGGGGAGTGTTACTAAGATGACAATTAGTCAACATCTTGATATTAACTATAGTAGGATTCATCTTCTTTAATATTCTTCCTTGAGTATTAATTAATCCCTAATCATATTTCATATTAATATTTTGAACATTACTTAAAGGATCAACTAGTTTTGTTTCATATATTAATTATTACTAGAAACGATCAACGAACCGATGGTTAATCGTTGATAGTTTCACAAGTAAGTAACTTCGGTTTATTAATGCATGGTCGTGGTTAATAAACTTAAGAGGGATTAATTTTGTTGGTTAAACCGAGACCGTTGTGTTGAGGTTATCAATCTCAATTGATTTCATCAAGGAATTAAAAGATTAAATGCTACTATCAAGTCAGTATATGGCGTTGTTCTATACTTGACTAATAGTAAGGGTTATTAATGAATGGTCGTTGTTAATAACTATCCTCGATGAATTGGATATACTCTTCGATTGAGTATTCGAGAGGAGATAAGTTATAGATATAACAATGATCGACTAAAATATATCAACAAGTGGAAAGTAGCAATGCCAAGTCCCTTTTATTCTTGAATTTAATCCCATATAACTCGTTCATCTTCGTGTTTAACTTAATTAAATCACTCAACAATCAAAACCCCCCCTTTTACTTACTATTTATATAAAAAGAAAGTTATTCCTTTCCCTGTGGATACGAACTCTACTTCACCTATACTACGTGTAAGTGCTAGTGTTGAATTTATTTTGAGTGCACTCACGACAAAGTGCACGTCAATCACTATTGTTTTTATTATGTCTATATTGTTTAAGTTATTTTTAGGAGAATGTGTTGTTCTTTAATATGTGACATGTTGAACTGCGTAAGTATACTAAGAATTATTATTGTTCAATATCGGATACATTGTCAATAGGTCATTGTTGGTATTTGTAAATTTTTTAATAATGAATTACATATGTCGCTAGCTGGTTTGAATACTATAGTATTTCATTTGTAAAATACTATATTATTTTGTAATTTGTCAAGAACGTACTTTTACTGAACCTAAATTTTGGTATATCAAAATACTTTATACCGATATTTCAGTAAGGTAAAAATTTGTCAATTTTGTATATTGAAAATTTTGGTACAACAAAGGTATGAGATAAAATATTTGTTGTGAAGTACTGAACCACCCTAATATTTAGAAGTACAAACCCTAGTTAGCTTTTTTCCGTTTTAAACGCGTTTTAAACACGTACCGTTTTTTTGAGTAAAAAAACACGTTTAAAACGAAAAATAATGTCGGTCCGTTTAAAAAGGAAAAAAACTCCTACTTCCCGTATAAAACGTATTTTTCCCGTATTTTACAAAAAACAGAAACATGAATTGATCAATTAAACGAATGCATTAAATGCATAGAAGATCAACAATAGTTTAAAAGTAGAAATGAAAACACTCTCCTCGTGATCCCGTGTTTTTGTATTGTTAATTACAATACAATTATTAATCACTAAAATTAATTGCATGACGGTTAAAGCTAGCATCCTAAAGACTAAAACTTAAAACACTACTCCCTCCGTCCTTAATAGTTCTTTCATAGTACAAATGACACACATATTAAGAAAGTGGGTATTGTGTTGTGGAGAGTTGTGCAAAAGATAAATAAATGTGTAAGAAATGTTGTGAATCACTAATTCATTACCAAAAAAGGAAAGTGGAAGTTCTTTTGATATGAATGAAAAAGGAAAGTTGAAAGTTCTTTCAGGGACGGAGGGAGTACTAGATTTCTGATGTTTTTTCAAACAAGCTTAGCAAAATTAAGGTTTTTCTAAACTGGACATTTTTTAGTATAAACTTTTACACAAACAATAATAAGCGTAGCAATTGCACAACTTTTCTCATATGTCATCCGTCATTTTGATGAAAATTATGAGTATAACTTGAGTGTTATTTGATGATAATAGAAAGATAATGATTTTAACTTAGTCTCATTCTATTGTTATTATGCCTTATTTTTTGACGTCATTTTGCAAAATTATGTCTTGGACTTGCACCAAGAGGCTCTCCAGTAGAATTACGAATTATGTTTAGGTAGCAATGGAATTTGCCTCCTTGTCCTGGAGGCTCTCCGGTAGAATTACGAATTATTTTTATGTAGTAATGGAATTTGCTACATGAATATGTGTACTTTTATTTCTTTTTACTATTTTTTTTTTTTTTTTTACTATATATGTTGTTTTATATAAAGTATATACTTTAAATGTTCAAAATAATGCCCCGTATTTTTTGTCCGAATTTTTGTAACCGATGACGTATTATACACGTATACGTATTTACACGTTTTATAAAAGTCAACGTTTTTTTCAACGAATTTTTGACCGTTTTATTCATTCATGTTACCGAATAAAACGCGAACGTATTAAACCTCGTTTAATTCCCGTACCGTATTTAACTAACTAGGGTACAAACACAACATTATTTTCATATTATTATACACGAGTCGTTATACCGTGGGAGCAACCCACGGTGAGCATGATGCTCCCAAAGGCAAAATTCGCGTGTTACTGTTCACGCGTGTGAACAGTAACTTTTTTTTTGTTCTTTCTCTTGTCTGAGTAGGAGCGTGATGTAACTCGTGTGTAAAGAGATGTAACTCACGTTATTGATCAATGTAACTCAAGTCCATTCGAAATGTAACTTGTCAAATACATAGTATTAAAAATAAAATATTGATTTCAATGTAAACAATAAAAAAGTCTAATTGCACAATTGCTTTACATAAATAGTGTATATGTTTTATTTTTTAATGTCAAGGTCATTGAAAATTATTTTTAAAAAATCCTTTTTTTCTTCATTAGGAGGGCAGCAGGAGTTTATTTTCAAATGTAATTCGCGTTATTGATATGTAACTCGCATTATTGTGAAATGTAAATCCAGTGTTTTTTAATGTAACTCATGCGTGGGAATATGTAAGTTGTTTTACTCTCTCAACTTCAACTTGTTATACCACTTCAAATATAGTTTTTATAAAACGATGTAAACAACCTTAATTTGGAATGTAACTTTTATCTCATTGGAATGTAAGTGGGCCTTTACACACATGTAACTCCCGGACAAAGATATACGTAGATAGATAGCATTCATAGAGTGTATAGCTACACCATCCTCGCAATCTTGTTTGCATGTGAATGGAGAGCATGCCTAGACGCAAAGTTAGATCCTCGTCACCTGCCCAATAACTTCAGGACTGTGTGGTGATTTCTGGCGGCGATATTGAAGGTTTTCAATCCTCCTCCATCGTTCAATCGGCGGTTAGAAAACCAATAAAAGCTTCTCCATCAGATATTGCGCTCAACCTCCCCCACATCATCTCTCAGATCAGTATTTGCTGGGAATATAGCCTTCACACCAGAGGACGCCATTGATGACCAACCCTGCCTTTGGATCCGTCGACATCTGCCTTTGAATCTTTGATGGAAGCTCAGCAGCAAGTGCGCTGCATCGAGTCGCCGATCTGGCTTTGAAGCCGTCGCTGCAGGTGAAAAAATAGGCTGAAATTAAAATAGGAACGATGCTTTGCCGTCTTTTTTAATTGTGAAACGTCACCGTTTCGTGATCGGAGCACCGTGAGAACGGTGGGCCGATCCCACGGTATAATCTGCGATTATACACCGAGAGTGATCGATTTGATAGGATTGATGAGTGGATTTTAAGCATCCAAATTTTCTATTAACTGTATATTTAGTATAGGACATTGGGACATTTAAACTATTGATTAACTAAAACGACATTCATAGTTTTCTTTTATTTTCATACTTTATTGGTCATGCTTTTCTTCATAGATAAAAAGAATTACTGTTTTGTAAATGATTTCAATATAATAATATTTGAGACCCTATTTATTGTGTTGTATAAAATACCTTGAACTATTGAGAATGAATAAAACTGTGAAAAAATTACTTCATATATATAAACAAGATATGGTGAAAATTCAAAAAGAAACGTCTTTTGATCTAAAAGAAATGAAAATTTGTTGTCATGTCAAGCATTTAATTTCTCAGTAATTAGTAACATTAGGTGTTAAGTGTTGTTGGGGTATTGGGCCCATTGACGGGCAAGTCCAAATACCACCAGCAGCTCAATCAGCATAATGGGCATGGTATTCACACCCCAGCCCCTCGAGATACATGCCACCCGATATCCTTCGAGACGACATGGAACACTTGTAACACTACAAAAAACATCGAAATAGGCATAGACTTGGCATGGATTGGTCAACTTTGGAACGAATTAACTTATTTTTGGCACAGCTCCGTGCCAAATAACTGGTGACTAAACGACATTGACACGGAATTTGGCACGGATTTAACGCATCCGTGCCAAATACCCTATGAATTTTGTCAAATCCATGCCAAAATCATTGTTTTTTTAGTAGTGTAAGCTTTCTCGCTCAAAGCTCTCTAACAATAGGATGTTCTCTACCAAGAATTGACGGGAAACTACAATTTGAGGGAAAAGTATTTTTTTTTTTTTGATAAATAAACTTCATATTCAAACTAGTAAATCGTTTGCCACAAGGCTAACAATATGAGATGGTAATAAATCATGACTAATTCTACGATCTGGACTTAACACGCTAGCCCTTGCTAGAGCATGAGCGACGCGATTGGCAGATCGTTTACAATATGCCAGAGAAAAAATTTCATTCTCTTTCAGCTGATGACCAATATCATCTATCACTAAATCTAAATAAGACATGCCTTCCCCTTTATGGACTGCCTGAACAACCTGAAGAGCATCTGATTCCACTTCCACTTGTCTCCAACCTTTCCTTATAGCTCCAGCAATGGCTTCACGAACTCCCCTTGCTTCAGTTTCAGCCGGTGACCACTCTGCTCTCTTCGAATCACTACCAGCTCCCACCACTTCCCCATGCCCATGCCCGTATCCCTCCCTCTTCATTGGTAGCGGCATCCACGTTCACTTTGACCCACCCTGACCGCGGACTTTTCCATCTTTCTTCTGGCCTTTGCAGGTGACTTTGGGCTCCTCCTTTCTGTATTTGTGCCTCCCTCCACCCATGTAATGTACTTTCAGCACACCTTCGGACCCCCTGTTCTGTGTGAGCAATTTTCTTCCAAACCACATCGTTCCTTCTCTTCCACAAGCTCCAGAGTATCATAAGGAAATGACACCAGCTCTCCTCATCTTTATCTGCCAAATAATTCTTGATCCAGTTCTCCATTCCCGGAGTATCCCTTCTCACATTTACTCCAACTAAATCCCAGACCTGCTGCGCAGCAGAGCATAAGAAAAAGGCATGGGCATCCGACTCCTCCTCCCTGTTGCAGACACTACAAGCCTCCTGGATTGCAACCCCTCTCTTGCAACACCGGATATACAGGATTTTGCAATTGAGGATTTTAGTGATAAAATTTGTCTTCATCAATGTACAACTACATGGACTTTGATTTGTTTGGCCTTCAGACCACTTAACACGTACGATAGTATAAATCTAATTAATAGTTTTAAGATATATGCAAAAGTGCAAAACACTAACAATGATGATAAAGATAATAAATAATACTCTGTACTAGTAATTAAAACATTCCTTTCAACAAAAAATACAATAAATATTCAAGTGTGATGATCAGATTATAAATATGATACATAATACAGTGATAACAATTATTATTCGTAATCATTTGTGAATGCATTCATTTAGATTGATTATGTCTATGCAATAGTAGTAAACAAGTAAATGAAAAGAAAAATAGTTGTTATAGAATCTGCACAAGTAAATGAATTAAACAACAATAATCATTTTCATATAACAGTTTTTTGCGAAATTTTGACAGATTAATTGTTAAGAATATTTTATTTAAGTAAAAAAAGTACAGAGTACCATTTTTTGTTTGTGGAAAACAACTTCATTAATATAGTGATTCTTTGATTTCTAGATAAATTTTGACTTCATGATTTATACTTATACTTATATCCGTAGTCCTCATAACACATATAATACGTAGTACTCCGTATTATTTGGTGGAAATTAACTTTGTTGAACAAAATAGTGGTCTTGACTTCTCAAAACTCATTATCAAAAGTTTTCTAGATCTAGGTTTTTGGAGGCCTACTCCAAGGTGAGCCTATGAAGGGAAGCTTAGAGTCTGTTTGCAACAGGTTCTGCTTTTAAAAAGTGTTTTTTTTTAATGAAATGGGTAGAAGTGATTAAATAAAAATTAATAATGTTTGAGAAAAAAGTGATTTTGAAAAGTAAAAGTGGGTAGTGTTTGGTAAAATAAGTGTTTTTTGTGTAATAGAAAAAGTAAAAGCAATTTTGACGCGGAGCCGAGAAAAATAAAAGTTGTAGTGTTTGGGAAAATAAGTGTTTTTTTAAAGCCAAAAGCTGAGAAGTGCTTTTTTAAAAGGAGTTGCAAACCAACCCTTAATTAAATTCAAAATTCATTTAGGACACTGGACACCTTAAGCTCACTTTGAAGAAAACAATGCCTCAAACTCGAAGAGCCCGTTTGGTAATATCAAAATTAGCTGGATCGGCTTATTCTGCTGAAATTTATGAAATTCTGGCTGAAGTGGCTGAATTGACTGATTCTGCTTATTTATTAAAAAAAATATTCAAAATATATTTAACTAGTAAAGTAAAGAAAAAATTATATGTAAAAATAGTTAAAATGGTTGTCTACAGTAACTTCAGTCAATACAGCCAGGAAAGTAACTTCAACCTTACTTTTTCTTATTACTAGTATTACGTAATTCGGCGCGCGAAATCAAAAATCACGTGTTTTGTGAAAAAGTTGACTGATAAGTTTGATAAACTGAAATACTAGGCTACCAAACGGGCACTAAATAATGAAGCATGCTTTAGCTTTATCTCCCACTCAATAGCATGATAGCAAATGATCACTCAAAATTACGATTTAGATTACTGACAAATGACAATGGCGGCCTTAGGCTGTCCGCAACCGGTGGGGTGAAAGCCCCAAATTTGAGCTATTCACCCCAATTAAGCTTCAACCCAAACAAAATTATGTATAAGAGGGAGCCACAGGGAGTATGGAAAACCCATGGGAGGGATAGCTATGCCCCATATCGACTCTTGCCAACAAAAGAGAGAGCATCGAAGGCAGCGCATGTTGCATCAAGGGAGAGCAGCAGGATGTGGGACCAAAGATAAAACAAAACACTTTTTTTATTTAAATGGTTATAACTTTTTTGTTTATAATCCAAATTTTATAAAAAACATACCAAATTTCATAACTTTTTATGATCTTTCAAATGACATCAATATTGCATATATAAAGTTTAAAAAATAATAATTGAAGTTTTAATTAAAAACATATTGAGTGAACATATTGACGGGGTTGGGTTGCAGAGAAAACCTGGATTGACTTCGTGAATACGTATAAACTGGTAGAAAATTAGATTTATTGACGGGTTGGGTTGCGGTTAGCCTTAGAAAGAGTGCAAAGGGGTGACTGCATTAGGCCCAAAATAGGTTTTGTAGACTCTGATAGTTGGTCTTTGTATATGTTGTATGTATGCTTTTATTCTCCCATCTAGATGAAGCTTTTAATAATTAATTCTTTATATCTATTTTTAGACAAATATGCTAATAAAAAATTGTTTGAATCATTAGAAGTTTTTTCCCAATTATGATAAGACAAAACCTGGACAGGTCAAAACCAAACTATATGTATTCATTTTTTTTAACAATTTTAGGTATTCAATTTTTACTAATTATTTATTCAGTTATCGTGTGTGCATGTGTTTTGTCTCTGTTTCTTATATATGCAGTTATGTAAATGTTTATTGATTTGTTAAAATGTCTCTACTCCGTATTATGCAAACTTATATTCATTTCATTATTTTTTAGTCTAATTATGAGGAAGGTGTTTCATATAATGAGAATTAATTTTATTCACGACGTTCTACAAAAAGTATTTTCAGTTTTTTACTTCTAGTGGCTAGTTTATTGGTCTTTTTGTATACATACATGTAAAAGTCTCACTAGAAACTAGAATGTACGTAATTCTTTTCTCTATAATGAGTTTATAGATTATAAAGAAGTCATACAAAATTTGTCCACAGGTCCTTAAAACACAAGACCCTCTCTGCTTACGGACAATATAAATGATAGTTATGTTCCTAAATTATAGTTATGTTCCTAAATTATAGTTATGTTTTTATACTCAAAAAGTTATTTTGTACTCCCTCCGTCCCAAGGAGAAGTTCCTGGGTTGACTTTCACACATATTAAGGAAATAAAGTTCCTGAGGGGTAAATTTTACTGTTTGGCACTGTTTCGACACTGTTTGGCACTGTTTGACACTGTTTTGACGTACGATAACTTTCCATTTAGGGAAAATGAGAACTTTTTGTTGGGACTGCCAAAAAAGGAAAGTGAGAACTTCTCCTGGGAGGGAGAAAGTATAAGACTGATCTGAGGCGCAACCACCTGGAAAGATGTATCATGTCTGTGAATCACACCGGCTTCTTTCCTCTAAAAGAATGAAAATTTTCAAAAACAGAAAGGGCAAAAACACTTGTCCTGTTCAAGGAGAAGGGCAAAAATTGTCGGAAAGGTAAGATATGCCAAACAGTATGTGAATCTGGGTGGTGGTTTGCAGTCCATGGATGATGGATCCCATCTGATGGTTTGCTAGTTTGTTCTTCTAAATTCTAATATAAGTTTTAATCAGCTAAATATAAATGGAGAAAGATTTACCGTTTATGGAATGACTATAATGCAATACAAGTCCATGGATTTTAAAAGTTTAGGTGTATTCAATGTGGACTTTTAAAAGCCCACAAAAGTCTAGGTGTATTCAATGCAGACTTTTAAAAGTCTATAAAAGTCTAGGCGTATTCAAATTTACGTTCATTCTTATTGACTTCTAAAATCATGGATTCTCGTGGACTTTTAACTCATTTTTAGTGCAAAAATTCTCGGCAATTGTCTCTTCTCCTCACCTAAGATTTCCGTGGACTTTTCTTATATCGGTTCTTCATCCCGTCCCACCCCATTCCTCCCCTCCCTCCTAGGGATGGACCGGGCCAGACCCGGTTTCTGTTCTGAGTCGGGCCCGGCCGGGCTTGGATTTTTTTGGGTAAGGCCCGGGACCAGCCCGGGAGTCTACTGGTATCGGGCCGGGCTAGTTCCGGGTTGGGCCGGGCCAGTTCCGGGTTGGGCCAGGCCAGTTCCGGGTTGGGCCGGGCTGGTTCATTTTTTTCTGTTTTCATATATATTCCAACCCTCACCCCCCAAACCCCTCCAAAACACCCAGCCTACCTACCATAGGCCCAACCCCCCCCCCCCCCCCCCCCCCCCCCCAAAAAAAAGAAAAAAAAAAGAAAACAAATAAGGCCCGGACCGGGCCCAAACCGGCCGGGCTGGTCCTCAAATATGCAGTTCCGGAACCGCCCCAATTAATCCCCCCGGGTCGGGCCTAGGCCAGGTACCGATACCGATCCAACGGGCCGGGTCAGACCCGCACAGTGGCGGGCCGGGCCGGGTCTCGTGCCAGTCAGACCGGCCTCGGGCCAAGCCTACTCCCCCCCTCCCCCAACTCTACTCTTCTTTAGCCAAGCCACACCTTCCTCTTCAATCTTTCTTCTTTTTCTTCTTCAACCCAGCTCGCCCACCCCTCTCCTTCCATTCTTCTTCTTCTTTAGCTTGCCGTCCCCAGTCCACCCCCCTCGATTCAGTAATCCTATATTGATTCGATTCTAGAAGTTTATAGAAGAACCGATATAAGAATCGATAGTATTACATCAATGCAATTCTGATACGTCATCAGTTAACCATTAAGAAAATAAATATTTTAACTATCACTTTCTTTCATCGTTAAATCGCTTAATACATAAAAATATAATTTCAAATTAATAAATATATAACCATAAATACATATACAAGTATTTACAAGATAGAAGTTAAAAGAAAACAATCACTAAGTAGAAAAGCTCGATTGCATTTATGCTTGTACCACATGTAGTAATGAGTGTAATGCTTGTGTAACGATTAATGTTCTTAATCATTAATAAAATGGCCAAAATTCTCGAGCATTCTTGAAACTTTGAGTTTTTTTTTAATAAAAATAAATTTGAATTCTTATGCTTCATTTATTTTTGTAGAACATTGTGTTGCGATGTGAATTACATTTTTTTCATTTATTTATTTATTTATTTATTTATTTATTTATTTATTTATTTATTTATTTATTTATTTATTTATTTATTTATTTATTTACTTACTTATTTATTTCTTATCGTACTCCGTATTATATAGAGGAAATCACTCACGGTAGGACTAAAGCATAGCATTATTCTTAAAGTATGATTGAATGTTTCGTTTTTCTTAAATGGGAATAAATATTACATATGCACCCCTAATTTAATTAATTACT